GGGGGTCATGATTTGAACAAACTTGAATCTACACTACCTGAGGATGATTCCACATGTGTTTCATCTTTCCTGGCCCAGTGATTCTTGAGAAGAAGATTTTCATAGGATGTCATTAATTTTTCATAAATTCATAATTATCTCCCCTTGGAAGAGGGCGTGGTCCTTGATTTAAACAACTTGAATCCCCTTTAACCAAGGATACTTTGTGGCAAGTTTGGTTAAAATTCGATCAAGTGGTTCTTGAAAAAATGAAAATGTGAAAAGTTAACGACGACGACAGACAACGGACAAATTTTGATCAGAAAAGCTTACATGAGCCTTCGGCTCAGGTGAGCTAAAAAGTGGTACTCGTCTTCTTCATCTTTTGAACAAAAATTACATAACCTATCTTCTAATGATTCCCCTTTATATCTTCCAGTTTCAACTCTAATCATCAATCTAAACAATTTTTGGTCACTTAAAATCCTATTATTGTGGGGGAAAATCAATATCTTTGCGGTTAAACTTATTCATTTGACTAATATAAATATAACTAATGTTGTTATTTCACATCTCCCCACTTTACCCATACATGCTTTATGCATGTAGTTGAAACTGGTTGAGCAGTTGCAGTGAAACTGAAAATGTTCATGTTAAAGCTATCGCGCAAGAATATATAAAGCGTTATGTGTATTAAATGTAATACGGTGTCGGTCTTATTTCTCTTCTCTACTTAATATCGTTTTACAAACAGCGTGACAGTTTGCTTGATAGTAGGGCTGTGTATTGAGCAAAAAATTTCGATACGTTACGATACAATATTTTCTAAAGCGATATGCGATATATTGGATTCTAAAACAAGTCCATCAAAAAAAGGCTTATTAATCACTTAATGTATGGATTTCATAAAAAAAATTGTGTTTTATTACCCATTTTAAAGTTCTTATCCCATAGTCAGTAAATAAAACACTTCCAATTGAAACTTTTAATGACTGTAAAATCAACATTTTAAAATAAAATTGTTATGCAATTTATAATAACTATAAAAACTGTGTTATTTAATTGATAAATCTTTAATTATTGATCAGTTTTAATTCAAAAAAGTTAAATATAATCTTTGCTGATTGAAATTCCCATCTTTTTAGCAGAATTAGAGGAAAAACTGCTTGTCCGATACTTATTGGAAGTAATTTTTCGATACGATATTTTTCTTGAATATCGATACGTATCGATATATCGATATATTGATACAGCCCTACTTGATAGGGCATGATAAAATTTTGTATGCCGATTATCATTTTACTCATCGATTGGACGATTGATTTCAATGGAATCAATAATACTTTGCATATGAATTAGAGAACCCAACAATACCACTGACAATACTGACCAATCGTTTTGAATGACACGTTTACGAGTATGCAGTAAACAACAATTACATGTGGACGGACAAAGCAAGTTTTACAACCTATAATGATAGCTACATTAGTATAACAGTAGCATAGTAGCCTTGCTTACTAATTCCATTCTTTGAGTTTTCTTATACATGTACGTAGGCCTATATAAAACCCCATGCGGTCAAATCACAACAAATATAATACACGCTTTTTTTAAGGACAGAAAGCAGTCTTAGACAGACCACGTGTTGCTGGTGAGTACAAACGCCGCACTGGTGAACAATCATTCAATATGATTGGACAGTATCATCAGCATATTGTTGTATTCTGAGTTTTATGGAACGCCATCCCTGCCTTATAGCACACAACTATGCATTTATTACGTCAATTTATCATTACGTGATGTGAACATCTCTTTACGTTATGTCCATATGGGATGATGAAAATATATCTTAACATCATGTCAATGCTGCATTACATGAAGTAAATACATCCTTTCATTATGTCAGCACTTCATAACTTGAAGTAAAAAATTCATTATGTGAAGTGATAATGTGTTTACATTGTGTTAAAACTTCATTACGTGAAATGAATATTTCTTTACATCATTTCATTTCTTTAATATGTGAGGTCAAAATTGCATTACGTCAAGTAAATTATAAAAGTTTATAATTAAACTTATCATCACATGAAGTCAAAAGCCCATTCCTTTTTGAGAGTGTATATTTCTATTATATCAAAGTATTATTACGTGATATGGATTTATCTTTATTTTACCCCGAGGGCATCATGATGTGAGGTGAACACATCTTACCTTTATGTCAGTGCTTTATTACGTGGTGTAAAAAGTGTATAACATAATGTGAACATATCTTTATATTATATCAACACTTTATTACATTATGTCAAAACTCCATACCGTGATATGGATATATTATAACGTTATGCCACCTCTTTCTTATGTGATTTAAGAATATCTTTATATTGTGTTAACTCTTTATCATGTGGATTCCAAGTTCATAACCTGATGCAAAAATACATTTACATTATCTCAAAGCTGTATATCTAGTATATAATAAATGTTGACGACCGTGTTTTAATGACTGGTAAGAAGGGGGGGGGGGGGGGTCGTGATTGATTAGAACAAATTACAGGCACATAATATCAACCCCCCTCTTTTCCCAGACATAACTTTTCTATAGAAAATGTAATGTTCATTGAAACTGTACAGCCCCCCCCCACCCCCACTTCTTGTTGAAATATAGTCCACTAAGGGTAATATAATATATCTTGAAAAAAATAGGATTGATTGAAGTTGGACCACTCTCCCCGAAATAGGATTTTCGGGCTTGGACATTTTTTTTCTTGGCTTGTTTAGTTTTTTCGGATAAATGATTTTTTTTACTGGCTGACCTCCTCTTTCAAAAAAATGATGCTACGTCACTGGAGTTAGTAATTTTTTTTAATCATTCCAGGGCCAGAATTCTGTTACAAAAATCTACCAGTCGCTCATCTAAATCAATTGAATATGCCTTAGTAAGCATGCATGGGCACATATCAGTGGCAGATATGGGAATCTTGAACAAGGAAGGGGGACGGTATATGGTTGGAGACCTCGGGCGGAAAGCGGAGAAACTCTTAAGCTTAATAGTTTTATAGAAAAAAGTTTTCAACTTAATTCAGCTAAACTTAATGTGAAACTAATGCAATGAAAGTTTAAGACTTTTATATATATATATAAAAAAAATTCAAAATAAAAAGAAAAAAATGATTGCTGCACGACTTATAATATTTGATTTACCGGTATTTAATTATCAGATTAAAGTAAACACCATTGAATTTCGACGTGACTTTAATTCACAGTCGCAGTGTTAAGGCTTTGCATGTTTCAAGATTGTCAATCATTTGTCGCTTAAAGTTTTCATTTAAAGATGTCATTCCGAAATCGCTGAGAATCTCTTCTACGACAGTTTTCTCTCCCGCCATTTTAGTGCTTGCGGAACGCGGAAAATACGTTATGCTCATATAAAGGCCGAGGATACCCGCGTTCGCATAACGTAATAGTGAATCGACATAATGTAGAAGAGTGCGCACAGTATGGCAAGAGCTTTTCACATCAGTTAATAAAAACTAAGATTGTCATGAAAAGTAAACATAACGAAATGCAAGTTGACGAAATAAAATTGTAGTATGTGTAAATGTCATAAAGAGTTGATATAATGTAAAGGAAAGTTAACACGATGCAATAGTAGTGTGGGTTAATGTCATAAAGAGTTGACATAATGTAATGGAAGGTTGGCACAATGCAATAGTAGGGTGGGTTAATGTCATAAAGAGTTGACATAATGTAATGGAAGGTTGACACAATGCAATAGTAGTGTGGGTTAATGTCATAAAGAGTTGACATAATGTAATGGAAGGTTGGCACAATGCAATAGTAGGGTGGGTTAATGTCATAAAGAGTTGACATAATGTAATGGAAGGTTGACACAATGCAATAGTAGTGTTCTGCTATAAGGCAGTGACGGCGTTCCATAGAGTTTCATATGCAAATTATTATTGATTCCACTGAAATCAAACATCCAATGGATGAGTAAAATGATAATCAGCACACAAAATTTTAGCACGCCCTATCAAGCAAACTGTCACGCTGTTTGTAAAACGATAATATATTTCAATTCCATATATAAGACGATTGGTCACCCTCACGGGCTGGTGCACACTGACCTAAAAGGACTAGTGTTTAGATCGATTGTTTGTCAAACTGTCCTGTCTATGGTATTCTCCATACAAAAATATATCACTAGTCATAATTCACAATTAAATAAAAATAAAGAGGATTAAAAGAACTAGAAACTCTTATTGCTACAGCAACAAAAAAGGTCTTCCGTTCTTCTCTATATATCTGTATGAATGATTTTTCTATGTTAAAAACAGACATATGATATTAACAAATAATTTAAACTGAAAAATAAATAAAAAAAAAACAGAATTTACATTCTGAGTACAGGAAAACAAACGGCCGGAGGTGTATTTTACCGAGATTTTCGATGTTACTAAAGCCATTTGTTGTCTTGATAACATATGTATAATCATTTCAAATATATGGGGCACCGTTTTGGTATTTACTGCCAAAAAGTGATATCACCTATTCGAATAGGTGATATCACTTATTCAAATAGGTGATATCACCTATTCGAATAGGTGATATCACCTATTGGAAATGAATAGGTGATATCACCTATTCGAATAAGTGATATCACCTATTCGTGCTGAATAGGTGATATCTTCTATTCGAATAGGTGATATCAGCTATTCAATTTGAATTGGTGATATCTCCAATTCGAATTCAATCACCTATTCGAATTTCTTACAACATTAAATAATGAATGCTCCCTATAATATACTGATTTATCACTGGAACCAAGAAAATTCGGACTACCCAGTTTTTATGCGTTTTTCCAATTTTTCTTAAAGTTTTCTCGATAGATAAGTGAAATAAATTAATTTGTGAGCAAAACAAACTACAATTTCTATTAGGGTTGATTAAAATTAATGCAAAACTGTAAGGGCCTGTAAGTCTCGTTTACTTTCACTTTCGTTTCATAACTTCTGAGTACCTCAGCGTTCTTGGAGACAATGGATTACCGCTTCGCATTAAGTTTTAAGCCTAGCAGTGGACTAGTAAAGCCTGTCATGCCGTTTATTTTCCGATTATTAAAAAGAAGAGGAGAAAATGGATTGATTTATACAGGTAAAAAACATTTAATTGCTTTATTGTTTTATACAAGAGGCCCATGGGCCTTATAGGTCACCAGAGCATTATGCAACAACTTTCCAGTGATTGAATTTGATTCATGTTTTAAGCCAGATCTATGGCATTCACAATTTTGAAAGAGGCACCATTGATCATCATAACTACATGTATACACTTAGCAGTTGCTGAGTTTAGTTACTTAATACCCATAGGCAAGGTAGGGGAACAAAAAATGCATTTCAACTAATCAGTAATATTCAGCAATAATCAATAGTGCCCCTACCACACATGAACCCCTGACCCTTAGGCCTAGATCCACACATTGCATAATTTATAAAAAGGCATCCTTGCTTTTCAAAAATATTTGATTAATACCAAGAAGCAAATTTCAAACAATTCATTCATTTTCAGTATATAAGTACAGCCCCCCCCACCTCTATGGTACCCCTGACCCTGGGGCCTTGAAATTCACAATTCTGGAAGATTATGGCCCTTGCTCATCATAACTATATAGGTAGTTCATCTGCTTAATACCCAGGATCAGAGAAGAAAATTTTCAAAGATTTAATGTACTTTCACTATATAATCAATAGAGCCCAGTCCTAAAACCAGAACCCCTGACCCTGGGGCCATAAAATTCACAATTTTGGTGGAGGTACTCTTGCTCATCATAACTATGCACTTAGTTAGTCTATTTAATACCCAGGGGCAGAGAAGGAGATTTTCAAAGAATTCATGTATTTTCACTATATAATCAATAGAGCCCCGTCCTAACACCAGAACCCCTGACCCTGGGGCCATAAAATTCACAATTTTGGTAGAGGCATTCTTGCTCATCATAACTATGTACTTAGTTGGTTTATTTAATACCCAGGAGCAGAGAAGAAGATTTTCAAAGAAATAATGCATTTTCACTATATACTTATTTAGCCCCGCCCTAACACTAGAACCCCTGACCCCAGGGCCATGAATTTCACAATTTTGGTAGAGGACTCAATGCTGATTACAATCATGCAAACAGTTTGACTGCTTGATGTCCAGGAGTAAAGAAGAAGATTTTTAAAGATTGCATTAATTTTAGTGGTTTTGGCCCCATCCCTCAGGCCCCAGGGGGGCAGGGATCATGAAATTCACAAATTTTGTTCCCCTTTACCCATAGATGCTTTGTGCCAAATTTGATTGAAATTGGTTCAGTGGTTGCAGAGAAGAAGCTGAAAATGTTCAAATGTTAACGCACGACGCACAACACACGACAACGGACGAAAACGGATAGCAATAGGTCACCTGAGTTTACTCAGGTGACCTAAAAATGACGTACATACAAGCTATTCTGAATGGGACAAGATTAGCGAACATTTTAAAGCATAAAAGGAATATTAAGATAGTTTTTAAGATGAAAACGTGTGTTTTCAAACTAAAAGGATCCCCAAAGATTGGTTCTATAATTTTATTTTACTGATGTACATGTAGAATCAGCTGAGCATGCAGTCATTGAAAACAAAATGGGAAATACATGTACATGTACCCAAATGCATCCATCACGGGAATACAGGGTTGATAATAGCTGCAGAACTGTAGCTCTCCAAAAAAAAATATATTGATAGACCGGAGAGCTAGTGCCACCCATTGAAAAAACTGTTATTGCGCACAAAAAAGTGCGCTCGGTTCTGGATTAATTCTTCCAAATTCTTACCTCAATTGCAAAAAGCTAGATTTCAATAAAGTCCTTACTCCTCTATCAATAACTTTCGTAGTTTACATCTGTACGAAGTGCGTTGGACTGAATTATCTTGCAAACCGAAATGGCAGTATAAACAGGCGAAATTTTTGATGATCTAAATTTCAACGCCCGGGGGGTATTAAAACAATTATAAGGAAATGTTTTGTTGTGGAAACAGTGAAAGAACATGTTAGGAGCACACGGTTATGGCATGTCAAACGTTGCTATATTCGATAATCTTGTGATGTATGTTCAATATCTTGTGATGTATTTTCGAAATCTTGTGATGCATATTCTATAATCTTGTGATGTATGTTCAATATCTTGTGATGTATATTCGAGATCTTGTGATGTATATTCTGTTATCTTGTGATGTATATTCGAGATCTTGTGATGTATATTCGAGATCTTGTGATGTATATTCTATAATCTTGTGATATATGTTCAAAATCTTGTGATTTATATTCAATATCTTGTGATGTATATTCGAAATCTTGTGATGTATGTTCAATAATCCTGTGATGTTTGTTCGATAATCTTGTGATGTATATTCGAAATCTTGTGATGTGTGTTTATGGCACGCCAAATTCACAAAAATGAGCTAAACCTAGTTTCACAATTGATAAACTAGGTTTATCGACTGTAAACTATAGTTTACAAACCGTAAACTATAGTTAACGATTCGTTAAGTATAGTTTTCATTTGTAAAACTATATATGACGGTTGTTAACTATAGTTTACGAATGCTAATCTAAGTTTATCTGTCTGTAATAAAACGTTAACAATAGATTTTGTTGTTAAATATAGATTCACGTCTGTAAACTATAGTTTACGATCGTTAAATATAGTTAAGAGTTGTAAACCATAGTTTACAAATCGTGAAACTGTATTTATCAGATAATCTATGTTTTGCGATCGCAAATGATTATTTTTGGTGTTAAGTATAGTTTATCCACTCAAAACCTTGGATGGCACTGAAATCGAATGGGTAGAAGATTTTAAATATCTTGGATCCTGGGTTGAAAGTTCAGAAAAGGACATAGCTGTACGGAAAGCTTTAGCCTGGCGGGCTCTGAACAAGATGTCCAGAATATGGCGCTCAACAATGCGAAGTGATCTAAAGTTGCGTTTCTTCATAGCCACAATCGAGTCAATTCTACTGTATGGCTGTGAGAGCTGGACCCTGAGAATAGCCCAGGAGAAGTCGCTAGAAGTAACCTACACACGCATGCTCCGTAAGGTTCTAGACATTCACTGGTCAAGCCAGATTCCCAACGAGTTCCTATATGGTAACCTCCCAAAGGTCAGTGATAAGATAGCCTCCAGGAGATTGCAGCTAGCTGGGCATTGCTTCCGTCATCCAGAGCTCAGCGCTCAATCTTTGGTACTGTGGGAGCCAATTCAGGGACGCCGTAGGAGAGGTAGACCCAAGGCCACGTTTTTAGACACACTAAAGCGTGACACAAAGACAAGGGATACAAATGAGCTAGCTTCCCTAATGGCTGACAGGAAGAACTGGAGTGGTCATGTCGTTGGTCGTCTAAGGACGACCGAGTGAGTGAGTGAGTGAGTATAGTTAACGGTTGTGAAACATAGATTATCGCGTTAACTATGGTTTACAGATGTGAAATATAGATTAACGTTGTTAACTATACTTTACAGTCCTTAAACTATAGTTAAACTATGATTAGCTATTTTTTGTAGATTTGGCTTGCTAAACATAGTTTCACAATTGATAAACTAGGTTTATCGACTGTAAACAATAGTTTACAAACCGTAAACTATAGTTAACGATTCGTTAAGTATAGCTTTCATTTGTAAAACTATATAACGGTTGTTAACTATAGTTTACGAATGCTAATCTAAGTTTATCTGTCTGTAATAAAACGTTAACAATAGATTTTGTTGTTAAACATAGATTCACGTCTGTAAACTATAGTTTACGATCATTAACTATAGTGAAGAGTTGTAAACCATAGTTTACAATCATGAAATTGTATTTATCAGATAATCTATGTTTTGCAATCGCAAATGATTGTTTCCGGTTTTAAGTATAGTTTACGGTTGTGAAACATGGATTATCGCGTTAACTATGGTTTACAGATGTAAAATATAGATTAACGTTGTTAACTATAGTTTACAGTCCGTAAACTATAGTTTACTAGCGATAAACCTAGTTTATCGATTGTGAAACTATGATTAGCTCATTTTTGTGAATTTGGCGTGCCATATGTGTTCTACAATCTAGTGATGCGTGCAATAATATTGCATTATGGGTAATATGACGCAACAGTTTTATAAGAAAGTAAGGACAATTTTCATTGGTTAGAAATAACGAAAGTAGCTGGAGCGGCGATTGTTATCGTGATGCACACAACTTCGCAAGTATGATATATTGGCGAATTCAACCTAAGTCCAAATTATAACTGATACTATAGTAAGACAGTATTGTGAAAATGTATTGTTTTGGTACAACCACGTACGAAACAGTCCGGGCGGCTTAGACACGGCTTAGGCACGGATTCCGTTCCAGAAACCCGTGCTTATAAAATTCCTGCTCCTATGTAAAGTATGTATGGAAAGCCGTGCCTGAAAGTGGTCGAGGCACGGACACGGCACGGGATATTGGCCGAATTATTTAAATGAGATCACACGGTTTTACAAAATCCGTGTCGGAAAGCCGTGCTTGTTTCCATATATGGACTCACGGATTCTTTAAACCCGTGTCTGAAACCCGTGTCCTTTTCCATATATGGAGACACGGATTTTTGGAAACCCGTGTCAAAAAAGCCGTGTGACATACCATATATGGAGTCACGGGATCTGTGCTTTTGTCTAGATCTAGGTCGGGGCTTGTCGAGAAACTCCTGATGTAAATGCATGTGAATGCCAAAATGGTGACTGAAACCAAACTTCACAATGCTTTATGTTATCATTATGCTTAGCTTTAGAATTTTAAAAGTTGAAAATCTTATATAAATGTGTCCTGATATACTTTCTGTTAAAGATTAAGATTGCTTTATCAGTTACAATCCATGCTAGTTTTTAATTAAGAATTTAATTGATAATGTATAATTCTGGGAATTGTAATTTTATCTTAGTTTGGACAATCTGTGAAAGTATTTGATTTAAATAAATCTTTTTGTAGCACAGTGATGACACATAAAATATTTTGGGATTAATTAGTGAGAGTACAACTAGAGTCATTCAAATAAACAGAGATGCAGTGTTTCATCATGTTCAATATCAACATTGTAAATACAAAAAGATCATGAAA